TGCCCTCCCCAACAGCTCCCACTCATCCACGCCTCACCCCAAAGACACCCTGTTTCCGGGTGAGGGTCCCGTTCCCAGGAACCCCAGCTCCACTCCAGTTCCAGAAGTGGACGTGAGATTTCCCGCTGGTGACAATGCAACTGCTGTCACGAGGGCTGAAGCCAACGGCTAGGACTGAGTCATTTGTACTCTGAAGGGAAGACACTAGATTCAGCCACCCCAAGCCCTGAGCACCCTCCTCCTGCTTGACTCTCCTCAATTTGCACCTGGACAGCAGGCCTGCAGAAGTCCAAAACCCCAGCACAAGCCTTCCTTCAAGACCCTGTTCCCCTAGGAGCACTATTCTCTGTCACTCATGATTAATCACCCCAATACCTAACACTCATGAGGTCAGAACTTCTGTAGTCTCCATGTCACAGATGAAGAAACTGAGGCTCAAAAATACTAGGAGGTTTGCCCCCGGAAACCCAGGCAGAAAGAAAGAAAGTCTGGAGCTCTGCCTAAGTCTGGAGCTCTCGGCTCTCCACCACTCCCACCCCTAACCCCAGAGCCCCTGCAGGCCACCTGGACCCCTCACCTTGATCTCAGCCAGCTTCACTCCCCGGCTACAGTCCCACACTGACAGCATGTGCTCATTGGAATCATCCACCACACAAAGAAAAGCACCCTGATCCTGTGGATTGAGGGGGGGGGGTCACATGGGAGGGGCTGGGTGAACCCTGAGGTCAAGGGGTTCATGTCTTTAGGCAGGGGGTACCATCACAGGTGTGGAGAGGGCAGGAGAAGTTGACACATGTCCCTTTCTCAAGAGAACCAGCTGGGCAGGGTTCAGGAAGGCCAGAAATTTCCAGGCTTCCTGGTGACATGCAAGAGTGGGGTTCGAGGGCAAGAATGGGGGTTAGAAGCTTTGAAGCCAGCTCACCACAGCTGAAAAGGCCAGGGCCCCCACACCCCGCTCAAAGGCCCCCAGTCCAATTTCCTGCAGCTTCAGCAACGTCTCTGAGTCCCAGATGTGAACCACAGGCTGCAGCGGCTGGTGGAGGAGAAGAGGTGAGGGGTCTGAAGGAATGCTGGGCTGCAGGTTCATCGTGCCTGCATAGTCTTTGACTTTGGCCTTACCTTTCCATCCTTATCCACTCCAGCTGTCTGTCCTGAGGCTACTCGAACACCATCAGGGTGAACAGCAAGGCTAAGGGGGGAAGAGACACTCCAGAAAAGGGGGTCTCTCAAGACTACCCAAGATACCTCCTCCATTCTTGCATAGCAGCAAGACAACTTTCCTCTCCTGCTCCCCCATACCCACCAAGACCTTCTTCCTGCCAAGCCCCCCATCCCCAGGCCCCAGGCCTCTCACCATCGAACGCAGTCCGTGTGTCCTCGGTAATGTCTCTGGCCGCCACCTCCAGGACCCCCTGGGCCTCCCCCGGGCCGGTACAGCACCACCACACAGGCGATAAAGTAGACCACCTCCCCAGAGCGCAGCACAAACAGATTAGAGCGGGAGTCACGACCCCTGTACCCATAACTGGGGTAGGGGTCACAGTCAAGGAAAGGGTCAGATCAGGGGCAGGAGGAGGAATAGAGAAGAAGGAGCTTCTGGCTGGCAGCACCACTGGCAGAAGGATGGTAGAGGAGGATTCAGAAGGCTCCCTGTGCCCACAGCCCCAGGAGAAAACTGTAAAGAAGGGGAAGGGGGTCCTAAGGAGAGAAAGCTGATTCCCATGGGACTGGAGGGGGCAGGATACACCCAGTCAAGGCTGAGGGTCTCCGGGGGTGGGCCGCTGGGCAGCTCCTCAAGGCTGCGGACGCCAGACGGGATGTACATGGTAATGGGGCGGCCTCGAAGGAACATCTTCACTGAGATGCCTTCTACAGAGAAAAGGGGGGTGTCAACCACCACCCTGCAGTCCCCCTTCCAGGAATGCCAGAGCAGAACTCCACCCACCATACCTCACAGGTCCCCCGAAATAGCTCCTGGGGCTGCAGCCCAAACCCTAACTCTGAAATCCAAATGCTTCCCTCTGTCCTGCAATACATACCCAAATTGTAATTGCTCCTTCGAGACCCTGGGCCCCCTGGGCTGGAGAGGGGCTCTTTCCCCCCACGGCTGTTGGGAAGAGAGAAAAACACAGGGATTGGGGTAAGGTCCCAGACTGGGGGGGAGGGGCAGGGCACAAGAAATAGGTTACTCCAGAGACCACAGTCACCTCTGCAGGCTTGTAGTTTGCCTAGTGAGTATCAGGGCCCTAGAGTAGATGGGGACTTTTAGTTCCATTTAAGAGATGAGAAGACTGAGGCTGAAGGGGCTGAGTACACAGCATAAGGCCACAAAGCTTGGGAGAGGCAATGCAGGGTGCCCGAGCCCTTTCTCTCTTCCAGACCACCAGGCCTATGGCTATTGACCTTTCCATTTCCCCATCTGTAAAATGGGACCAAAGTGAATCCAGAATGTACACCAGGTCCGCCTTTCTGTGATCTGGGAGGTAAGCAAGAAAATCTTTCTCTCTCAAGAGGAAAGTGACCAGTGGATTCCAGAGATAACTGTCATTAGATGACGATAAGGTGATAAAATCTCTTCAGAGAATAATGTAGAGGCCAAGAACAGAGGTGGAATGAACACTCAGGTGTCCTGGTGGCTGCACACACTCTCAGATAAGTATGTTCAGCCACTAGGATGTCCCTTTGCCCTCTAGAAGTAAGTAGATTGGTACTTGGTAGATCTGGGGGCCAAGGAGGGCTGAAGCTCCAAGGACAGTCATCCATAACAATCAGGGGAACAGCCTCTTGGAATCTTGGAAGGTGCTTTGTGATATGGTAAAAAGGGCAGGGGAACTAGAGTCAGGAAGAATGGGGTTTGACTCCTGACTCTAGCTGTGTGATCCCAGGCAAATGACTTACCCTCTCTGAGCCTGCTTCCTCACTTGTGCAATGGACAGCATGAGACCACCTACCCCCCAAGGATGTTGTGGGGACTGAATGAGATGGAGGCAGTCGAGGGTTTAGCACAATGCCCGGTACACAGCAGGCGCCCCAGGAGTGCTTGTTCCCTTCTTCCTGTTGGGCAATGAGGTCCCCCCACCCCACCCAGGGAAGTGAAGTGAGGGATGTGGAAAGTCAAGAGCCTAAGCCTGGGGTGGGGTGGGGTGGGGGCAGCCTCACCCACCTCTCTGTGCTACCTGACCGCAATAACAGGTTGGCCGAGGAAGCTGCCTTCCTGGAGAGTTTCTGCCGAGGCCGAGGGGACGAGGAGGAGGAAGAATTTCTTCGTGGCCTGGGCATAGTGAGTAGGTGAAGGTCATTCCCTCCAATGGTGCTCCCTAATCCTCCCACCCCTCCCAGCCCCTGCCACAGGACACCTACGTTTCAGTGCGCTGTGGGGGCTGCACAGGCCTGAGGATCCCTGGGGGGCCAGGGGAGCCAGTGCCACTGCTGCTGCTGCCCCCTCCTTCAGACTGGGTCCCACTAGGCTCTTCATTGCCCCCCTGAGGGGCTGGAGGACCGTTGCTCAGGCCAGGGGGTCCAGGGGATGGCTCGATCTCCACCTCTGTCTGGGTGCCTCGGCTCACCAAGGAGAGGCTGCACGTGTGTGGCAGTCCTGGGGGAACTGCAGGGCTGCTGGAGAGACAGTGAATTAACCTGATGCCCAGGGGCCTCGAGAAGGAGGAAAAGGGGTTGTGAGGACAGCATACCTGTCCCTTACAGCAGCTGGTGTGCCAGAGTCCTGCAGGGAGGTGGAGGATGCTTGCAGCCGCAGCAGGCGAAGGGCTTCTGCCAGGGCTGCCTTTACTAGCTCCATCTCCTGCTCCTGCACCCGAAGTCGCTGGCTCAAGGACTGCAAGGCCTCCTGAGCAGGGCCCTCACCTGATAAAGGGGCAAGAAGCAGTCGGAATGTACCCACCGCCTGGAGAATGGGTTGAAGGGATTCTGTCACCGCACAACTTTACAGTTGTCCAACAGGACTGCCCCTTTCAAGCTGCACCAGGCTTGGAGGCTCCTCCAGTGGGGAGGAGATGGTGGTAGAGGATCAAGGGCCTCCTCCTGGCAGGGCAGGCGAGCAACCTGGCAAAGCTCCCTTCCTGCTGCCATCTCTGCCTCCGCAAAGGCTGGGAGTACCATGTAGTACCAGGGAGAAAATATGGAGTACTGCCGAGGAACGTGGGAGCCACAGAGAGGCGCGGTGCTGGTGAGGAACAGCACCGCAGCCCTCCCCGCCCCGGAGAGCTCAGGTCTCCATCAAAAGTAGAGTAACTGAGCGGGGACACTGAGAGAGAAGAGAGGGCACGAGAGTAGAATCATACTGAGGGCCAAGAAAAGAGATCCACGATGACAGGCGAGGGATCAGAGGTGAGCAGAGTCACAGTGAAGGTCCCAGGCTAACAGCGGGGGTCAGAAGTAAAAAGACCTGAAGGATCAGGAGAAGAGGCCCAGAGTAACGACGGGGGCAGGGAAACCTTGAGGGGCCCAGAGTTACATGGGGGGCAGGATGACGTTGGGGAAGTCCGAAATGACAGTAAGAGGACCCAAGTAACTAGGGAGGGCGACCTGAGGAACTGTGGAGGATGCTCAGAGCCCCCCCACCCCGGGCGGAGGGGCACGCGAGGATGCCTCCAGACAGCCTTCGGGCTCTGGCGGCGCCAGACGGGCCGAGCGCTCCAGGAAGGGGCACGCCGCCCGCCCCGCCCCGTACTCACCGGGCCCCGCGGCCCCGTCCATCCGGCCCCCGGGTTGCTCTGAGCGGCAGCGGCGGAGGAGGCGCCTAAGCCGCGGGGGCCATGGCCTGAGAGAGGGGAAGGGGAAGCACCCTGGGGCGCGCACGAAGGCGAGCTGTGCCACCCCACGGGGGCGCTGTCGGGCGCAGGGAAGGGGCCTGGAGGGGGCGCTGTGGGGCTGGGGCCGCAGTCTCCGGGGCCCGCGGGGGCCTCGGACGCTCCCGGGGCCACTCTCGGCTCCCCGGGGAGGGGTGGCGGGGCCGTCCCGGGCCCCAGCGCCACAGCGCAAACAGACGCCGGACGCCGAGCCGCCAGGAAGCGCGGGAGGGGGGGCGGGCCCGGGGGGGCCGGGCTGCCTGCTAACCCCTCCCTGTCCGGGCCTCGCGGCTCAGTACGGGGGCGGGGCCCGCCGGCTGACCCCTCACCCCCTCCCGGCCCCTGGCCTCCGGCCCTTCCGGGATCCCGGCCCCAGATTCCCAGGGGATTGGGGAGGGGGCGGGGGCCCTGAGGTCTCCGCCCCGCAGCCCCTTAGCCCCTCAGGGCTGAGCGGACCAGTCCCCGACTTCTGCCAGGGGACAGGGGCGGGGTCACGAAATGGGATCTCTGCCCAGGGGCGGAGCTTCTCCTTAGGGGCGAGGCCAAGACATCCTGAACTGGGGCTGACAGGGCGGCAGGTTATTAAGGCTGAGGGTGGGAGGATGCTCAGGGTATTGGGGTCAGGGTGGCATTAGCCCAGCTCAAGCTGGGCTGGGCTGAGTCAGCATCCTGCCCTGGCCAACCTCCATCCCCGACAGCTCTGCACTCCCTTGGGCAGAGATGGGAGATGGCGCCGGTGTTGCCGCTGGTGCTGCCCCTGCAGCCCCGCATCCGTCTGGCGCAGGGGCTCTGGCTCCTCTCCTGGCTGCTGGCACTGGCCAGCGGCCTCACTCTCCTCTGTAGCGGGCACCTCCTGGTCCAGCTGCGGCACCTTGGCACCTTCCTGGCTCCCTCCTGCCGGTTCCCTGTCCTGCCCCAGGTTGCCCTGGCAGCAGGTGCAGTGGCTCTGGGCACAGGACTCGGAGGTGCAGGAGCCAGCCGGGCAAGTCTGGATGCAGCTCGATACCCTCCCTGGCGAGGGATCCTGGGACCACTGCTGGTGGCTGGTACTGCTGGAGGAGGGGGGCTCCTGGTCCTCGCCCTGGGGCTAGCCCTGGGTTTGCCTGGGAGTCTGGACCAGGGGCTGGAAGAGGGCCTGGGAACTGCCTTGGGTCACTACAAGGACACAGAGGTACCTGGGCACTGTCATGCCAAACGGCTGATGGATGAGCTGCAGCTGAAGCACCACTGCTGCGGGCGCCATGGGTACAAGGATTGGTTTGGGGTACAGTGGGTCAGCAGCCGTTACCTGGACCCCAGTGACCAGGATGTGGTTGAGTGAGTGACTTGCTTCTCTCCTCCTCCTCCTCCTCCTCTTCCTCCTCCTCCTCCCCCCCAGACAGGCTCCCTCCTGCTACCCTGCAACCCTACCTCCCCCAAATGGGCAATGCACAGTAGCTGAGAGAATGGGTTACAGATCAGCTATTTATTAGCTGTGTAACCCAGGGCATGTTACCAAACCACTCTGGGCCCATTTCTTCATCTGTAAAATGTAGATAATAGAACCTAACATATAGATAGGTACTGATTTTATAGAGTTGTGAAGATAAATGAATTATGCTTGGCTAGCATGTAAGTAAAGCAGTCAGTAAATGTTTTACTATCATTGTCCCCTGCTCAACACCTGTGCCCCTCAGCTTCTAACCCACGCATCTGTCTCCAGTCATCCTAACCCCCACCCCTCCCTTTGCAGTCGGATCCAGAGCAATGTGGAAGGCCTGTACCTGACTGATGGAGTCCCTTTCTCTTGCTGCAACCCCCACTCACCTCGGCCTTGCCTGCAAAGTCAACTTTCAGATCCCTATGCCCACCCCCTCTTTGATCCGAGACAGCCCAACCTAAACCTCTGGGCCCAAGGATGCCACGAGGTGCTGCTGGGGCACCTGCAGGAACTGGCCAGCACACTGGGCAGCATGCTGGCTGTCACCTTTCTGCTGCAGGTGAGTCAGCATCTGAGTCTGTCCTCCTTCTCCCTGGGACCCCTTGTATGGCTAACCCTCCTTGACTCTTTCGGCTTGCTTCTCCTACAGGCTCTGGTGCTCGTTGGCCTGCGGTACCTGCATACAGCACTGGAGGGTCTTGGAGGGGTCATCGATGGGGAAGGGGAGACCCAGGGCTATCTCTTTCCTGGTGGGCTGAAAGATATGCTGAAAACAGCATGGCTACAGGGAGGGGTTGCCCACAGGCCAGCACCTGAGGAGGCCCCACCAGAAGAGGCACCTCCCAAGGAGGATCTACCTGAGGCCTAGTGGCCTAGAGCTTAGGATGGGGGTGGGCGGGAGGGGAAGAGGGAGGGATGGACAAGGCTAAAAACCTCACAACTCCTAACCAAGGCTCCAGGTTGGGGGGGAGGGTCCCTGGGATTAGAGAGGTTAAGGACAGTCAGGGAGCTGCAGCTGGAGCTGGACAGGGGTGAGAGAGAAAAGCAGGTGTCCTAGGGCCTCCTTTGTGGCCAGAACCAGCAGGTATAACAACAAAGAACAGAGTGATGGGAAAGTGACATGGGAAGGCCTGGAGACTGCTTCTGGTACACAGACTCAATAAAGCTTTTGGATGGAAGCCACTGTTCTTTCTTGTCTAGAGGATGGGGCCCCTGGGAGAACTGATTTCTGTCTGATGGAGAAACCAGGACTCCAAAGTTTTGACCCTGGCTCAGCCTGTGCAGGAACAGGTGCCCACATCTGTAAGGATTAGAAAGCAAGAACCAGATGTGCGAAGTGAAGGAAAACAAGCAGCCCCTCCAGGTTGAGATTCTTTATTCTGGAGGTAGGAGGGGGTCAGCATGCTCAGGTGGGGAGGGTCCAGCCCAGCTCCTCCAGCCCCCCAGTGCATGCCCAGCCCCAATAAGTTATCAAGTTCCTCTGCCGCCCTCCCTCTTGAGTCCATCTGTCTTTCTGCACCACCCTAGACAGGGCCAACCTGGCTCAATACAAGGGCAGCTTGTCCCCAGCCTGTGGACAGTGCCACATGGCAGGGTGGGGGAGGGGAGAAGCAGCAGGGCCATGCCTTGAACCTGGAAAGGCAGAGGGACAACCTCTGGCTCTGAGGGGCCAGGACTTGGAAAACCACATCCTGGGTAGGCCTAGGGCCCAGTCCCACAAGGTCTGTGTCTGAAGTGAGGTGGTAGTCAGGGTGGGGCTGCCATCACACCTCAATGGCTGGGTCTGAGCCCCGGCCCTGCCGCTGCAGCTGCTCCTCCTGCTTCATCTTGGGCTTCTCTGTCCGTGTATGCCACACCAGGACCTGTGGCAGGAGGGCTGCAGTGAGAACAGGACCAGCCATAGCCATTCCCTCTATGTGGAATGGATTCTCCACCCCCTTTACATACACAGTGCAGGCTGCAAAGTGGGAAGAGCAGAGTGCAGGAAGACCTTAGTGCCTCTAAAACAGGGCCTTATCCCTTCACCGTCTGCTTCACGTGGGTTCCCAGGATTCTGGGAGATGGAGTGGCAGGAGGCCACATTCCTTCCCTGGCTCCCAGTAGAGGAAGCAAGGCTGATCAGAGATCTGGAGAGTCCCTCTGGTTCCAACTCCCATTTCCTAGGCTCTCACTCCATTTCTCCCATCACCCGTCCATCTCAGAGCCAGGTTTCTATGGCCACCTCCATTCTCTTACCCGAGTGCAGTTAGCAGCCCGTGGCTCCAGGTCCTTGGGATCCACAAGGTGGCTCAGGAGACTGCTCTCCAGGTGGCCCCGGGGAGCAGTAGCATCAAACTGGGCATTGGGCTTAGCCAACAGCAGGGGCAGGGCGACAGCAAATCCCGCCATATCCACGGGGAAGGGCCTGTTTGGCTCCCATGCTGTGTGGAAGCCCACAACCCGTCCATCCTGTACCTGAGGGCCCTCAAATCGCAGGCCGCCCACCAGCCCCACTGGCCACACTGAGACACCACGGGTCCAGCGCATCTACCAGAGGTCAGGAGAGAAGAAACAGAGAGGGGTGTCCCATGGGAAAAGGGGCAGCAGAAAGGGCCGCAGGCTCCCTCTGCCCCGCTGCTTCCCACTCCTCACCCAGCAGCCAACAGCAACACTGGTAACCGAGGTAATGAATGAAGCTGGCCTCACTTGGCCTCTTGCCCCATTCGTATCCCAGTGCTCACCTCCTCAAAGAGCTCCCGGCTATAGGTGTTGTCATCATCAGCAAAGTACACGACTCCCTGTGTCCCAGGTGGTGGTGGATCCTTCTCCCCCCCAACAGCACCCCCTTTGCCCCGGAGCCAGTCCAGGGCCTTGTTCCGCTGCTCTACACCACGGGGCCGAACCCAGCCTGGCTCTCCCTCCCGAAGCCGCTGGGCCTTGGGCGTGAGGACCACCAGGTGTGTGAAGAGGAGGCCAGAGGCAGCCAGCAGCCCTGAGACGAGCGGGGTGGGGCCCTCAGCGTCCTCCACCAGGAGCCAATGTAGCCGGGGCACCAGGCTCAGTGTCTGGGACAGCCGCACCAGCTCTGCCTTCTGCACCAGCCTGCAGGGGGAGAGATGCAGCAGGAGGGAATGGGGTGGGTACCATTTGCCCACTCTGGACAGCTTCTCCTGGGCCACTGCTAGTACCCCCCCCATGGCCTTTCCCGAACCAGTGCCCGAACTCCCTCTTTTTTGCCTGTCAACTTCATGCTGACACTTACCTGCCCTGTTCTTCCATTCCATGTTGGTCACCCACCTCAACCCCAGGGCTCTGGCTGTAGAAGACTACAAATTAAGGGCATAGGCTTTGGGATTAGATAGATCTGGGTTTGAAGCCCAGCTTTGTAACTTATTAGGTAAAATGGCTCAATCTCCCTGAGCCTGTTTCCTCAGCTATAAAATGGGAATAACAGTACCTTATAACAATGTTGTTTTAAAGCTTAAATATAATAATGACTTTCTAAAACACCAGTAGAACAGGTTCTTTTCCTTCTGTGCTGGGTTTCCAGAGAAAGGCATTTATTTTAGAGGATCCCCTTGGCTCATTCCTCTCCAGGGTAGAAAGAAAGATTTGAGTTTAGAGAAGGAACTGGGAATGTGTGGTTTGGCCTATTCCAGGCTTCTTTATCCTTCAGATCTGCCTGCCTGCCCCAGACGTGGTAGTGTGTGCATGTCATGGTGGAGTCTAGAGCTGTCTGTGCCTGGATGGGGGAGCCATCTGATTCCAGGGAAGTGTGTTAACAGGCCCTTTTGCCTACAGATCCAAAACCACATTCCCTAATTGGTTTTTATCAGTAATAAAGTTACATTTTGATTTAAAACAAAACAAAACAAAAAAAAATGTAAAGCACTAAGCACAGTGCCTGGTAGAGAAAGAGTAAACACACTGTAAATAATAACTGGTGCAACTATTTCATAACCAGGATGACTATCCCACCAAGTCCCTTCTACCTTATTTATTTTTTTAAATTTTTTGAGACAGAGTCTCACTTTGTTGCCCAGGCTAGAGTGAGTGCCATGCTGTCAGCCTAGCTCACAGCAACCTCAAACTCCTGGGTGCAAGCAATCCTGCTGCCTCAGCCTCCTGAGTAGCTGGGACTACAGGCATGCGCCACCATGCACGGCTAATTTTTTCTATATTAATTTCTTTCTATTTATAGTAGAGACAGGTCTCGCTCTTGCTCAGCCTGGTTTCAAACTCCTGACCTTGAGCGATCCAGCCACCTCGGCCTCCTAGAGTGCTAGGATTAAAGGCATGAGCCACCGCGCTGGCCCCCTTCTACCTTAATTTAGTCAGGGTTTTTAAATTTTTCTTGTCAAAGGATCCCTAAGGAGAGAGTTAACTTATTGGTAAGCTCAAAATTTCTTTGAAACTTAATTGTTCTATCTTAAAATTTAGCAGGAAATGTGTATTTTACATCATAGTATACCCTTGTCTATTTTAATACAAAAACAACCATTTTCGCCTCAAATCTTTAAGATGTGGTTCATTTGACTTGTTGTTTGGCATGCTCTAGTTTGAGGAATATCCCCCAGCCCAGTGGCTCCCCAAACTCCTCATCAACCCCAATTTCTTGGTCAATGCATCCCTTTTTGGTGCACCAAAGCCCATACCTGGCATAGGTGGGGGTAACAACATAGATAGTAGGCAGGGCCTCAGGTTCAGGGGGCTGGGCAGGGGCAGGGGGTGGGCGTCGCAGATCGGCTTGCAGCTGGGAAATCCTCAGATCCTTCTGCCGAAGCTGCTCGGCTGCTGCCCGCAGGGGAGGGAGGCAGTCACATGGCTGGCCTGGTCCCAGGAAGCATGGGGAAAGGAGGTGGGGGGCAGAGAACCACAGAATGTTCAGCATCCGAAAAGGCCATAACCTTCTCATTTAACTCCTAGCGAATGCACGAATCCACACAAGACTTCTCTAGTAACATTTTCTACACCCCTGATGTGGGGAAGTCGTTGTCTCAATTAGCAGCTTCTCTCCATCTTTAATAAATTCCATCTATTACAATTTTCATTTGGATATTGAGCTGATTTTGTCTCCATTCTTTCTACCTGCTGGCCCTAATTTTGCCTTCTGGACTCATAACAAACAAATCGAAGTCCTTATACAGGACAGTCTTTCAAATATTAGGTTAAGTATGAAATGCCCAATTTCCTTAATTACTAAGTTTGAAAGCTGATGTCTCTGACATTTCATTTTGACGCTTCTTGTTTTATTTTTATTGTGAAGGCACATTCTCAGTCTTTCAAATGTATGTTTTGGCTTGTGATTATCTTTCAAAAAATTTTTAAGGGCAATTTTTGTGAAACCAAATTCATGTTATTTTTTAATATGAATTCCATCATGGAACCAATGGAGCTCAGACACCTCAAAATATCAACAAAGTGGGAAGGATGTGGCTAATGAACACACAGTAGTACACTGCTGATTTGAGAAGTTCCATTCTGATTATTTTAATCTTGAAAATGAGCCACGTGGGCAACCTGAGACAAGGTGGATAATGATGAACTGAAAACTGTAGATGGAAGCGAATCCATCTCAACCTACATGTGAATCAATAGGAAGGTTTGACATTACCATTCCAACAATATTGGACCATTTGAAAAAAACCAGTGAGGCAAAGAAGCTGGTTAGATGAATTCCACATGAATTAAATAAGCATAGGAAGATAGATCGTTTCAAAGCCTTTCTTTGCTGTCATAAAAGTGAACCATTTCTACACCATATTGTTCCTTTTCTTTTTCTTTTTTTGAGACAGAGTCTTGCTTTGTTGCCCAGGCTAGAGTGAGTGCCATGGCGTCAGCCTGGCTCACAGCAACCTCAAACTCCTGGGCTCAAGTAATCCCGCTGCCTCAGCCTCCTGAGTAGCTGGGACTACAGGCATGCGCCACCATGCCCGGCTAACTTTTTCTCTGTACATTAATTGGCCAATTAGTTTCTTTCTATTTTGTAGTAGAGACAGGGTCTTGCTCTTGCTCAGGCTGGTTTCGAACTCCTGACCTCGAGCAATCCGCCCACCTCGGCCTCCCAGAGTGCTAGGATCATTACACCATATTGTTATGTGTGATGAAAACTGGATTCTTTTTGACAATCAAGTGTGCGGCACAATGGTTGGATAAAGATGAAGTGCTGAAATGCAGTCCAAAACCAAATAATCATCAAAAAAAGCAAATGGTGTCTGTTTGGTAGTGCAGTTCTGGTATTATCCACTATAGCTTCATGAAACCTGGTCAATCCATCACGGTGGAAGTCTACTGCAACCAACTGAATGAAATGATTAGCATGCTTGCCATTAAGTTGCCAAGACTGGTCAATGGAGACAGGCCAATCCTCTCGCAAGACAACATTCAACCACATGTTGCACAAACCACGCTACTCAAACTACAGCAGCTGGACTTGGAAATTGTCCTGCATTGTATTCACCAGACCTTGCACCAACCACTTCTTCCAGGCTTTGGAACACTTCTTGCAAGGAAAAACACTGAATTCCCAACAAGCTACTGTTAAGATGGCAAAACTGTGTCGATACATTAGGCGCCTACTGCTTCTTGTCTGAGTTATAATAAACTACACTTTGGGGCTGGGACTGGTGGCTCATGCCTGTAATCCTAACACTCTGGGAGGCCGAGGTGGGCAGATCGTTTGAGCTCATGAGTTTAAGACCAGCCTGAGCAAGAGCAAGACCCTGTCTCTACTAAAAAAAATGGAAAGAAATTAGCTGGACAACTAAAAAACATATATAGAAAAAAATTAGCTGGGCATAGTGGCGCATGCGTGTAGTCCCAGCTACTCAGGAGGCTGAGGCAGTAGGATCACTTGAGCCCAGGAGTTTGAGATTGCTGTGAGCTAGGCTGATGCCACGACGCCACAGCACTCTAGCCTGGGCAACAGAGTAAGACTCTGTCTCGAAAAACAAACAAAAAAACAGTTTTTTGGTTTTTTTTTTGAGACAGAGTCTCACTTTGTTGCCCAGGCTAGAGTGAGTGCCATGCTGTCAGCCTAGCTCACAGCAACCTCAAACTCCTGGGCTCAAGCAATCCTGCTGCCTCAGCCTCCCAGGTAGCTGGGACTACAGGCATGCGCCACCATGCCCGGCTAATTTTTTCTCTATATATTAGTTGGCCAATTAATTTCTTTTTATTTTTTTATTGTAGACACAGGGTCTCACTCTTGCACAGGCTGGTTTCAAACTCCTGACCTTGAGCGATGCCACCTGCCTCGGCCTCCCAGAGTGCTAGGATTACAGGCGTGAGCCACCGTGCCCGGCCAAAAAAACACTTTTGATTCAGAATCGGACATTTCATATTTAATGACCTAATACCTGAGGATCACAAAGTGGCACTGTCCCTAAATCCCTATATAGGAGGGTTCAGTCTGTTCCCTTGGCTGTGTGACCAAAGACTCGTCATTAAATTCATTAATTCCATCATTGGATAAATATTTATTGAATACTCCTAGGAGGCACTGCCTTAGGTGCTGGGAATACAGCAAGGAACAAAACAGACACCGTCCCTGCCCTCACGAAGCTTTCAGTTTAGTGGAGGAAGCAGACACTAATCAGAAAAACAAATTAATAAAACCATTACAAATTGAGATAAGGACCATGAAGACAATAAAAAGGATAGAGAATAAAAGGGAATCAGGAATAAGAAGGGTTACTGTAGCTTAGTGGTCAGGGAAGGCCTCTCTGAGGAGGTGACATTTCAGCTAAGACCTGAAGGATGAGAAAGGCAGCCCGGGAAGAGCTGGGAGAAAAGCATCGCAGGCAGAGGGAACAGGTTAAGAGCTTTAGAGAGCAATGAGCGTGGGGTTTTTGAGAAACTGTCAAATAGCCAGTCTGCGGGAGCAGAGCGAGGGAGAGGAGTGGGGAATGGGGTTGCAAAGGCAGACCGCGGCAGGAACATGCAGGGCCTTGCAGGCTCTGGGAAGGAGTCTGGATTTCATCCGAGGTGCGGCGGGAAGCCGCGTAGCGTTCTAGAGAGGGGAGAGCGTCCGCGACTCGCCGCAGAGGGCTGTCCGGAGGGCCGAGCAGGATGAATGGTGTCTGCCGGGGATTCATCCCCAGGGCGGGATGCAAGGCGGCGGGCGCCCTGGGGCCGGCCCGCCGCACCCCTGCCCCGCCCCGCTCACCGAGCTGCACCAGCGCGTAGAGGAGACCGGCGATCGACACAAGGAAGTAGGCGAGAAACACGTTCTTCAGCTTCAGCTTCATGGCCGCGCCGCCGCGGGCGCCCGAGCAGGCTGGCTGGGGAGGGGACGAGGGGTCCCCGCCCCCGCAGAGGCCCCGCCCTGCGTCCCGCCTTCCTCGCGCTCCTCGACCTGCTCCGGGGAGAAGGGGCCGGCAGCGCCGCTCAGGGTCCACTTCCGGTCATCTAGTGCCCCTTCCTCAAGTCAGTTTCCCGTCCCACCGCTTGGTTCCGGGAACCACGGAACGGCGACGTCACATCCGGCGTGTCAAGTGAGCGCGGCCGGCAGTCAGAAGCCCGGGTGGGAGCACGTGGGACCTACCTCGAACCGCCCCTTTAACACAGAATTGCATGAGAAATCCAGTCCCTGTGTCGGTTTTCTCCTGATGCGTCCATCTGGCAGTCACAGCACCCGATAAGAGGGATTGTTCCCATTTTATAGATAAGAAACTAAGGTTGACAAAAACTATGTCATTGCAATAGGGCAATTTTCTGTGTTCCTTCTAGACATGGACACCTGATTCCAGGATCTGTCGGTTCCTTTGGCTCACATTTCTTCAACATATAACAATGAGGGTGCCAATGCAGTGCGCTACCTCCTAGGGAATTGATTGGAAGCATTTCCGTAGCTGGGGAATTCCATAAACTCATCCCCTACTTCCTCACAAGTACAAGCCATCCTTAGCAGTCATTTTTCCTAAAAAACCAAAAACAAAACAAAAAACCCCGTTTTTCCTGCTATGGAGGATAGTCTGAGAAAAAAAAAACAAAAAACACCCAATCCCCCCCATTTTCTTGTAAAATAATCTCTAGGCCTCATGGTTAGTCTATAAAATAAAGAAAACTACTTGCTGTCACTAAAACAATGGGAAATTTTTTAAAGTGCCATTAACTAGAAAGAAGCAGGCTTCAGTAAGAACATTTGACCTTATAGCTATTTCTATCCAAGACCCTATGGGTCTCATCACCACCTACTAACAAGGCATACTAAAATGTGATGAGCTTCCTGAGCTCTTCTATGAAAATATTTGCATCTAGGAAGCTGAGGAAGGCCTGAGCTTGCTCATGGTGCTGAATCAATGATGGTTATGCTGAAGCCAGAAGAAAATGTCAGGCCCTTGGGCTTCTACAGTCTATGCCTCAGGCTAGAACCAGAATCCAGACACCTGAGTTATTTATAGTTTATCCCTTTATTGTTTCTCCTTTTATCAAAACCTGTCACAGCTGGGGGCCAAGAGGAAGTAAAAAAAATCCCCCAAATATTCCCCCTGGTTCCCCATTAGTCCTCCCCAACCCCCACCCAGGCCAACCCTGGGCACACATGATCATCTCCCCCCACCCTCAGCCTTCTCCCAGCAATAAATACAGGTGACCGTGATTCAATGAAACCACAACTGATTTCTCCATCTTGAATGCCCCTCAAAGGGGACAAGAAGGGAGCAAAAGAAGTTTAATGCCCATCCCCTCTTAGGGAGGGGTGGAAACTTCTTTCCCCCAAGGGACAGGGGAGGCAGAACTGCCCCTGTCAGAACTGCAGCAGCTCTAGTAGGAATGGGAGGGGAAAAGGTTGAAATGAAAAGGGAAAGGTTCTCCAGCAACCCCACTCCTTTGATCCACTCATCCCTTACCAGGTAAGGGGTGGTCCCAGTGTATCAGTGGGGCATAGAATGGGGAGGACTGACAAAGTAGAGCCAGGAGGAAGAAATAAAAGGAGGGAGAGCACAGTTCTGGTGGGGAGAGAAGAGAAAGGAGAAAAGGAGCCCTAAAGCTCACTGCTCTCATCTTCTTCCAAGAAATGGCATCAACACACAGGAGGCATGAATGGATAGGGTCTGGGAGAGATTCGGGGCCCCCAAAGAAGGGAAAGAGAAGAGGTGGCAAGGGCCCCATGGTCCTCACATCTTCACAAGTGATTGTGCTCCAGTTAGAGCAACAGGATGAGGTTGGGAAGATGAAGGGAAAAGGCTTGGTATCAAAGGAGTGGGAGAGGTCAGATTACAAGAGGAATTTGGAACCCAGGGTCAGCCCTCTCATCCTGCCCAAATGTTGGCAGAATCTGGGTCTTGGGATAAGAAAGGTGAAGTCTGGGGAGAGTCAAACTCCAAGGCAGAAGAAAGAGTAACTCTCACCACCACCACTCCCCTCCCCACAACCCAGAACATCCTTTGGGTTATCGCAAGTGAATACTCCAGTCAGATGCCACATTGACACCAGGCTTGCGCAGGATCAACACAGAGGTCTCAGGGTCATGCTGGAAGGACAGGCGGCTTTCTGGAGATCCTAGGAGAGGAAGAAAAAGGAGTCACAGTCATAGCAACAGGCTATAGCATAGCAACTACATTCCTATAGGCAAGACCATCCTCACCCCTGCCCCTGCTTCCCCTTTCCCCATCCTGGGCCAGATCAGTCACTCACCTTTTGTCTGGAGTACCACAGCTGCTGGCTTTCCAGCCCCTATTATCACCACCCGCTCAATCCAGATTGGTGTCTCAAAGTAGCCTTTGGGGTCTGCTGAGCTAGAGGTGGCAAAAGCAGATGCCCATCAGGGGGGGAAATGTCACAGCAGAAGGAGAAGAGCCAAAGCAAGGTCAGGATGTGAGAAACGAGCACAGTGAGCTGTGACCAAACCTGAGGTCCAGCCCCCTCTGGAGGCAGCCAACAAAGAATGGGTACCCCATTACCTGGAGACAAGGGTGTTGCCAGAGAATGAGAATCGACGCAGTAGGAACTCATGGTGAGTCTGATAGTTGAATGTGTGCCCATCATCCAGAAAGAGCTCTCCTTGGGCTGTACCCTGAGCAGGAAGTGGGATAGGTGAGTGCCTGAGCCCAAGAGGAAGTGAGGGGTACAACCCCAAGGGCATGGCTGAGGAAGCTCCCTGCCTGTGCACTCACCTGGGGGCTGAGTGCAACAAAGAGAGTGATGGGGTCATCCTTCATACAGTCTGAAGAACGCCGAACTCGCATCCATCGAGGCACAATTGTCCCACCACGTTGGAATACAGGTATCTAGGGCAAGAGCAGTGCTGGGATGAAGTCGCCCCCTTGTCCAACCTTGGGCCCCACAGCATATTTTGCTCTTGCCCATCTATGCCCACTTAAGTACTGGAACCTAAAGCACAATTTTCTCTCCCCCTTCTGGAAACTTACAAGCAGATGGAGCTGGCAGCTGGGCCAGGCATACTCACACTGCTTAGAGTTACAGGAAGGTACAGAGTCTGGGGACCATAATGCTTCTGGTAGCTTTGAACATCATACCATACCTGTGGGTGAGAGAAGGGGTAAGATACTGGGGTCACTCAGTACACAGGGCACCATCCTGTTTGCCCCCTTTGACTTCCACCATCTTTCTCCACCATGCCCTTCCTTAACTCACCTCCCCTTGGCCAGGCAGATAGACCTGTACACCATGGGCCCCGGAGTCTGATACAGGGTGAACCAGCAATGCATCCCCTAAAACACACCAGAATCAACTCTGAACTGTGGGAATCCCAGAGCAGGGAGCATGAAAGCACCTACCCCCTCGCACCACCAGCTTCACTCACTCCTCCCTCCCTGGGCATTTGCAGACAAAGTTCCCACAAGTGTTTTTTAGCCCAATGCCAACCCACCACCAGCTGTCCTCCCCATTTCTCACCAAGCAGGAACTGATCATCTATACTGAAGGTCGTTACATCCTGAGGATACTGCACCCATAGGGGCCTAGGAATGAAGAAGACAAGTGGGAAGACATTTCCATTTTAATAGAAGTCAAAGTCAAGAATTGGCAATAAGAATAGCACAGAGGAAGACCTAGGAGCTCTCATCCAGTCAGTCTGGTCAGGGTCCATGCCTTGGCTATGCAACTGACCCCTGGTCCTTCAGCCATCACTGCCACTTCTTCCCTGCTCCGTCCTCAAACTTTTATGGACAACAGCCTCCCTGTGGCCTCCTCACACACTTCTAATTGCCCTGACCTACAAGGCCCTTCAGGAGCACATCATACTTTCCTTTTTTTTTTTTTTTTTGTTACTTCCTCCCCAGCCTAACTCAATATTTTCTTCTTAAATCTCAACTCCTAGCTATCTCTCTGGTACTGTACCCAAGACACACTGACTTCTTTCTATTCCTGGAACATAACAAACTCATTTTCACTTTAGATTTTTCCACTTTCAGTCCCTTCTGCTTAGAACATTCTTCCTCTATATCACAAAAGTCTCTCATTCATCATTCAGGCTTCATCTCACATGGCCTTCTCAAAAAGGCTTTTTGTGTCCACCTAATCCCATTACTCTGCTTTGTTTTTTTTTTTTTTTTTTTTTCTAGAAACAGGTAACATAATTGCTCAAAATTATTACACATTTTGTTTGAGTTTCTAATTTAAATTCCTTTCTCAGGGTAACTGGGCCGTGAGAACCCACGTGCCCAGCCCCCAGCCCGTCTTCCCACCTCCCTTTCCTCTGCTTTTTTTTTTTTTTTTGTTTTTAGTTGGTCAATTAATTTCTTTCTATTTTTGGTAGAGACGGGGTCTCGCTCAGGCTGGTTTCGAACTCCTGACCTTGAGCGATCCGCCCGCCTCGGCCTCCCAAAGTGCTAGGATTACAGGCGTGAGCCACCGCGCCCGGCCTCTGCTTTGTTTTTTAATTTTACCTATGGAAAGGTATCCATTACCCTTTTATTTTTGTTGAAGAGCTTGTGACTGTTGGCAGTTTTCTTTAGATGTTCACTATTATTATTTTTTTATTTTTTGAGACAGGGTCTTGCTCTGTTGCCTGGTCTAGAATGCAGCAGCATCATCACAGCTCACTGCAACATTAAACTCCTGGGCTCGGCCGGGGGCGGTGGCTCACGCCTGTAATCCTAGCTCTCTGGGAGGCCGAGGCGGGTGGATTGCTCGAGGTCAGGAGTTCGAAACCAGCCTGAGCAAGAGCGAGACCCTGTCTCTACTATAAATAGAAAGAAATTAATTGGCCAACTAATATATATAGAAAAAATGAGCCGGGCATGGTGGCGCATGCCTGTAGTCCCAGCTACTTGGAGGCTGAGGCAGAAGGATTGCTTGAGCCCAGGAGTTTGAGGATGCTGTGAGCTAGGCTAACGCCACAGCACTCACTCTAGCCTAGGCAACAAAGCGAGACTCTGTCTCAAAAAAAAAAAAATAAATAAAAAATAAAATAAATAAAATAAAAATAAACTCTTGGGCTCAAGGAATCCTACCTCAGCCACCTGAGTAGCTGGGAATATAGGTGTGTGCCACCACACCCAGCTAGTTTTTTTTCTATTTTTTTGAGCGATGGGGTCTTGCTATGTTGGCCAGGCTGGTCTCAAACTCATGGCTTCAAGCGATACTCCTGTCTGAGACTCCCACAGTGCTAGTTACAGGCATGAACCACTGTGCCCAGCCTTTCCCTTCACTCTTGACTTTGAAATCATATTCCCTCCTTTACAATGCCCTGGTGAGTGAAAAAAGAGGCCCAGAGATGCAACCCACTCCCTCACGTCCCCCAACCACCTCAGCCTGCTCCCCAAAGACCCAACTGAATACCTCACCTCATAACAGGAATGCCTTCACGATGGGCCTGATAGAAGACAGTGTACCAGAAGGGCAGCAGGGAATACCGCTGGCCCAAGGCATCTCGGATTACATCACGGTGCTGAGATGGTAACAACCACGGCTCTCGTCGCCCAGTGTCCAAGTGGGCATGTGCTCGGAAGAATGGCTGATAGGCACCCATCTGGTACCAGCGTACAAGCAGCTCCGGCTCTGGGTTTTTGAAGAAGCCACCCACATCCGCTGGGAGAGTGGAGGGAGAAAGCAGGTTGGAAAAGAGATGCTGCCTGAGGAGCTTCCCAGGGCGTCACTGTGGAGTCTCAGCTTTTTGCTCATGCCTAGGTCCTGTGCCCTCTACTCTGTCCCTCTCCCACCAAACCAAGATCCCAAATTCCTTCCCCACTTACCCCCACAGAAGGAAAGTCCCACCAGCCCCAAGCTGAGACACATAGGGATAGAGATTTTCAAATGGTCCCATTCGGCAGTGTTGTCTCCTGTCCACACAGCTCCTAAGGAAGACAAGGGGTTGGAAGCTTGCACAC